TTTATCTTATTTTCGAACTCATCTGCTATTACGACATTTCTTAGGAGTCGATTATTATGTTTTTTCTAAACTGTCGTGGTTTTTATTATTTTTAATTTTATTTTCAATCCAGCACAGAGCAGATTATGATTAGTTGCTGCGTCTGCACTTGGGAATGTATTTGCAGATCTAACACTGTTTCTAAACCTTCTGTTAATGATAATATAGTCGATTTGATTTTTGACTACCTTTCCTTCGTGATCAGCTGGAGATTTCCAGGTATATAGTCGTCTTTTAGGTTGTTGAAAGAAAGTATTTGCTATAATGCAATTCTCTTCTTGGCAGAACTGTATTAGTCTCTGCCCTCTTTCGTTCCTTTCTCCAAGTCAATATTTTCCGGTTATATCTTGTGTTATTTCGGCACCAACTTTTGCATTGAAGTCTCATATAATAATGGTAGCTTCATGTTTTTTATGCTCCGGAGAATTTGTTTAATTTGGTTGTAGAATTGCTCAATTTCTTCATCTGGTTTGTCAGCTGTTGGTGCATAGACTTGTATTATATTCATCATCATCATCATCATTTAACCCGGATCTATCCACTGCTGGATATAGGTCTCCCTCAGTCTTTTCCATGTATTTCTGTTTTGTGCTGTTTGCATCCAATTTTTGTCAATCCGTTTTATGTCAACAGACCATCTTGTTGGTGGACGACCTCTACTTCGATGTACTTCTTGTCTCGGTCTCCACTATATTATTCGCTGTGTGCATCTGTTATCCGACATTCTAGCTATGTGCCCACGCCCAGTTCCACTTAAGAGTCATAATTCTTTCTATGGCATCTGTCACTCCTGTTCTCCGTCTTATTTCCTTGTTCGTGATCCGATCCCTACGAGAAATGCCTAACATCGATTGTTCCATGGCTCTTTGGGTAACACAAATTTTATTTCTTACTTTCTTGGTTAGTGTTAATGACTCTGCACCATATGTAAGTACTGGCAACACTCACTGATTAAAGACTTTTCTTTTAAGACACATAGGCAGTTCTGATTTAAGAACATAGCTCAGCTTGCCGAATGCCACCCAAGTGAGTCCAATGCAGCGGCTTAATTCGCACGTTTGATTATCTCTTCCTATGCGTATATCATGACCTAAGTACTTATAAGAGGTGGTTTCTTCAATATGGATGCCATTTACTGAAATCTTTTCGCTTAACACAAGATTTGTCATGATTTGTGTTTTGTGTGGTTGATTTTTAATCCAACTTGTAGGGAGGATAGGTATAGTTTCTCCAGTTACGATACTGCATCATCGATTCTGTCAGCAAAAAAGGACAATATCGTCAGCAAACCTCAAATGACTAAGCATTTCTCCATTGACATTAATTCCTTTTTCACTCAGATTTGCGTTCTTAAACATATGCTCTAATAATGTTGTAAACAATTTTAACGAAATTGTGTCTCCCTGTCGCACTCCCCGTTTTATTTTAAATACGTTGGTCTTTTTATCTGCCAGTTTCACGCTTGCTGTCCCATTTTGATAGATGTATTTTATCATGTTTATATAGCGATGATCTATACGGCACTCTGTTAAGGCTTTTAACATCTGTTGATGACTTTTTGTGTCGAAAGTTCTTAATTACTTGTAAATGATCATTCGTGCCCTATCCTGCTCTAAAACCTGCTTGCTCTCTTGGCTGATAGAAATCCAACTTACTTCCTAGCCTGTTGGTAATAACTCTTGTAAATAGCTTATATACTTGTGACAATACGCTAATGGGGCGGTAGTTTCTAAGGTCGCTGATATCTCCCTTCTTATGAAGTAAGATGATTTCCGCGTTGTTCCACTGCATCGGTGTTATCGCTTCGCACAGACATTTATTGAACAGTTTAGCAAGTGTCAGTAAGAGCTTATTTCCTCCTAGTTTTGGGCTTTCTGTCATTATCCTGTCTTCACCTGGGGATTTATTGTTCTTCATCACCCGAAGTGCATTTTTAATTTCGTCAACAGTTATGTTCGGCATTAATTCTGAGCCTTGATTCTCTATCTTTGGTAAGGGGCGTCTTTCATCGGATTCACTTGTTTCATAGTGGTACACAATGTATCCATTGCTCTCGAATATGTTTAACCCTAGCCATTTCGTCTCGCAGATACCTAGGATAGGAATGTCTACTCTGGCTATTTCTAGCGGAATATTGTGTAACTTCACGCCTTCAAACATAGTTGTGACGTTCCACGTAGCTATCTTATGGACTTTCACGAAACGGGATTTTCGTGGGTTTACAACTTGAGAGGCCCCGTGGTCTGGTTGTGATCTTCTCCCCTGCCAAATCTTGGATTCCGACATCCACGATCATTAAAAATATGCATACTTTTTTAATCTGTCATGGAAGCTGTACTAGAAATATCCACAAGGATCTTTAATGTAGTGGTTTCTCCTGGCCTTCTACATCCTGATGCAGTTGACTATTTCTTGGCTCTTCCGCCTTTGAGACCAATTTCTCGGTCTCAGGACAATAAAGTGCCCTACCACTCACCAACTCATCATCCCGAAGCTGTTGGTCAATAAGTGAGAGATTGCTTATACTGGCAGTCATTCAGTTTATCTGTAACCCTAGACAAGAGGACCTTACAGGGTGGTATCAGCCGGGCCAGCTGAACCCTGGTTTTTTAAAGAGGTGTTACTTCTCTCCCCTCCTCTTTTATCCGGGCTTGGAACCGGCTGCATCAGGTGTAAAGCTACTCAGTTCCCCCATACCTAATACAGGCAGAGTGTTCTATCTATAAACATTATTATTCATAAACATCAAACTGAATTTTGTCATAATACTCTCAAGTAGATCTTAAGTAACTATTCAGATAACTTTACAATATATACAGATGGGTCAAAATTAGTAACATATACAATCAATGCTTACTTTGCACTAAAAATAAAGACTAAAAAAGTATTTACTTTAAATAATCAATCCAGCATATTTTCTGTTAAAACATGTGCTATATAAATAAAGCCCTTCCCTTGAATGGTGTTGTAAAATCCAGTGGTGCAAAATTGTCATGTGCACTGATTTATTATCAGTATTAAATGCATTACTAAACTTTAAAGTTACAATTAACAGCAATATATTCATATTAAAAAATGTTCAACACTTACTAAAATTATCTGCTTTATCATACGATGTCAAATTCATATGCGTTAAGGAATATATTGGGTAATAGTATTGCGGATTCAACAGCTAAAAAATTTTATGATTAAAAAATAAAACAAAATCATCTGTACATCTTCACAGATTTATCATCATCTATCATAATTTTTGACGCTGCGATATTTAAATTTAAATTAGATTCAGCTAGAACTATTTCGTAAAATGGAATGATACAATTCACAACCATGCAGATAACTTTTTAGTAAGCTAAACCCATGTGGGGCAAGTTTCAGTCTATCTGAAAGTTTCACACAAAAACGAGAACAAAGAGATAAAGCAGGACCTAAAAAAATACAGATCATATCACTCGAAATATCCCCAAGGAGTTTGTTAGGGTTTCTCCATTCACTATTTACTTTAATAATGTAGTATTATTGCAAACACAACCTATGCTATCTAAACGATATTTCTCGGGAAGGTGGTAAATAAAAGAAAGGAAAAGAAGCTTTCTAAAGGTAAATAATATACATTTATTTCTCTACACATTGACGTTATGACTAAAATTTCACAATCGCGCTTTATTTTCTCATAACAGTTGGGAATTAGGAAACAATAACTTAAAATTTCCATTTTTAAATTTTTTTTTAAGTGTAATAGTAGAATGGCATTGTGTGCCCTTAGTTATGGACTAATACGCACTCCGATGCACAAATCGTCTTGGCCCAAAATATCTGCAATTTTTCTATTGGTCAATTGACCTAAAAATACCCATATGAAAACACAAGAAAATGTATAAATATGGCACTTTTTTTAGGTCGCAGGCCAGTATCGCTCCGCCTCCCATACAGGGTTTTCTATGCCCAGAGAGCCCAGAGAGAGGATTTTCGCTGGACCCTTTTCACTTTTTAACAATGTGTTTTATTCCATTACCGATGTAAAAATTAATGATAATCCACAGATATAGTTTACGCAAAGCACCGTGG